AGTTTGAATAACCGAAAAAATATAACTGCGTGAAAATTATGCTTTTAAATTTAGTATGAAATTCATGTTAGTTATCTTACATAATTCGTTGCCTCTGATTGTCCAAGCTTAAGTGAATTAAAGTAAAAAAGGTAGGATTACGTTGGAATGATTACCACAGCTTCTGTGTTTCTGATGAAAAATTAATTTTCTAAATAATAAATTTTTACCTTTGTTAACATTCATCAATTCAGGCTTTTACAGGGCAGATTTGTTGGGCACTTTTTAAGGGGCTCAATATTAGGTGGGCCAACGTTGCTCCCACAGTAAGGACAGATAGTACAGAGAATGAAAGAACATCCATGCCTTGCCCGGGATTCGAACCCAGAAACTATCTGATGCAAGGCCCGTTCCCTGATCCCTACACAGTCCAATCGGCTTTTCGAAGTATCTAAAATTTATCAAATTATAATTAACTGAATATTCTAATACTTTTCTTAATGCCTCATAATTATCTGAATGGTATCCTAAATTCTTAAAGATTTCCTAAATAATTTATAATTACCTGAATACCTCATAATAATCTCAATATCTAATAATTATTTAAATATCTATTAATTGTCTGAATTTCTAATAATTATCTGTTAATCTCTAATCTGTTAATTATCTGTGAATTTCTAATAATTATCTGTCTAATAATTATCTGTAAGTATAGCATTCTACTTTAAATATTTTGAGATGCTTAGATTATCTTCGGTAAAAATCGAATGACAATAATAACCGGTCCAAGACTCAATTACACATTAGACTGTTAAAACACATGGAAACAGGTGGTATGACCCAGTATTCCCACGTGAAGAGTTACATTCCTTCGGTTGCCCTCAGTATTAAATTAGTAAAAATTATGAGATAATATTCACCGATAAAATATTTATAATTAATTTTAAAGGTATTTATCAGTTATATTTATAATCCTTTTTTTTTGTTCTCAGCAATTATTAAGTTTCAGATTTTGTTTATTAATTCAAAGTAAATTCAAACTAAAAGCTGTGTTATTCTTAATATCGAAATTTTATTTTACCTAATTTTACTAAATTATCTTTTTTTGAAACATTTGATTATAAGCTTATTTAAATCGATATATTAATTATTTAACGGTTGTAAAATTATTTAACTGAAAACAAGTAACATTTACTTATTTGCAGTTATTATTTTATAAGCTTCAATTAAATTTGGGTCCAATCAACATAATCAACATATATAATTAAAATTATGAATATATAATTGCAAAACATTATAAGTGAATTTTTTTGTACTATTACTAAATTATATCTTGTGAGAAAAAAAAGTTAACGAGTTTCTAAAATAACTTAAAATTAAAAATTCAAGAAGAAAATTGTAAATGAAATTGTAATGGTAAAGGACAAAAACTAATCGATATAAATTTTATTTCTGTTGAATCGAGAACTAAATTTGTGAAACTAAATCTGTGAAACCAAATCTGTGTTACACAGCAAAACATTTTTAAATCTTTCAGTTGAATACTTTTCAATTTATATCTAACAATCTATTCATCATGAAAAAAAACAAAAAATAAGAGCATGGGTAGGGTGAAGGAAATTATCTGGGGGGTTAACCCCTTAATTGAATTTCTGTGCAACATCTGCAAGAATACTTGCTTTCAAAAAATTTGTTTTAATTGAATTAAAAATTTTCTTGAATTGTAATAATTAAAGAACCTAAATTACCATTTAAATAAGGTAGGTAGGCTTCGTTTATTACCTACATTATAGACGCGTAAAACTTTTTAATTACTTTGTTCTGATAATTAAAGATGTTAAATCTATTAAAAAATTAATCAAAATTTTTGTTTAAAAAAATGTATATTTAATTAAATTTGCGAACGGCAAAGAAGATATAAATTTTGCATTTCATTTAACACTCTAATCTCATTAGTAATAGTTTTAATCTAAACAAATTAGTTATTCCTATAATCTTTCGAACTCGCAAATTAAATTAATTTTACTAATTAATCTGGCATAAAAAAGAACCCAATGACTTGAATAAAGTAATTTAAAAAAAAAAAAGTAACCTGCATATTTAAGTAAAAAAAGATCAAAGGAATCTACGGACAAGAATTTTTTTTCCTCCTTCAAATGCGTTTTTATGCATTTATTTCTCAGAAATAATTATATTTTTTATAAAGAATAAAAGAATTGTTTCATTTTTCCTAAGGCGAAACACATAATAAACATAAAATCATCTTTAGGACGAAAAATGAGTATTCTCTACATTTAGTACTCTTGCATACAGTTTTTTTTTCTTTGCTCATTTATATAAAGTATTTTAATGTTCTCTCATTATGAGTTCTCAATTATTAACTTTTCCCCTAAGTATAAAACAATTTTTGACATAAGGCTTACATTTCTCAGAAAAATTATAGTTAATGACGCCGCATAAATTTTAATGTTTTCTGCTACTCGTGTGATTCTCGGACATAATTTAGATAAAAACAGAGCTAAAGAATAATTGTTTATATTATATCCTGTTGAAACAGCAAAACACTTCATTACTCATTCAGTTTACTATAAAATGTTTTTACGGGTGTTCAAAATTGTGTAAATTTACTCAAAATGAGTAATTTAAAAAATGAAAGTTTAATATAATTTCGACTATCGTTTTTGATTATTGAATTTGCAGCTATTTTCACACAGTTAAATTTTTCTGTTTAAATCTTATTTGATATTCTTATTTGATTATTGTTTAAAAATTATATATAAATTTAAAATGTGTATAAATTTTAAACAAATCTCATTTAATGAGTTAGTGTGTTTAAAAGTGTTTTTAAGAGTTAATAAGTGTAAGGTTTTACGCAAGACTTGAGTGATCTTAAGTTAATTAGCCATAAAGTTTAGACATTAGTGTTTCTTTGTGAAAAACAAGGATTTTGTCTCTATTTTCTAGCCGCAAATTCCTAATTGATTCCCAAATGTTCCCCTTAATCACCCAACTATAATTTTCGCAGCCCCTTACATTCATTTTATTTTATTTTATCAAAGTCATTGAACAGCAGATCCAATTATGAGTTTATGATTACCAATGTTCAAATCCGTAGCCTTGTAATTTTGAGCCTAATCCAGGAGACAAGGAAACTTCTGGCTCAATTATCAAGAGAATGAAATCCAACGAAAACTCCCCCGGTTTGCCTATCAGCAACGAGGAATTCATGTCAGCTGTTCTAATTTTAACGTTCGCACCATTGTTGGTTTAATATATGGTCGAAAAATGCTTTCTGAGTTTATTGTCGATTTTTATAGCCAAATGCACTTGTAACATTCCTTCACTATTAAAACATTCAAAAAATTAGAGTTGGTTCCTATATTCATGCAAAATAAATGCCGTACAGATAGTAAATAAATTGCAATTATTTTTAATAAATGAAATTTACTCTAATAAAAAATTTTATGTGAAACTTCATTCAAATTACGGATGAAATTAAAACAATAAGTCCACAATAATTACTTAAAATTTTAAAACAATCACAGTGTCTCGAACTGTTTTTAACTAATATTTTAAACAAAAAATATTTAATGAGTTTTTATAGTAACCAAAAATTAAGTGAATGTTTCAACAAAAAAAAGCTTTAAATGAAGTTCATACAGTCATAAGAACTTATTCAGTTTAAACTTCATTCTAAAAGAACAAGAAAAAATAAATCTTTTGAACCAAATCCTAGTTAATACAATAAAAATTATACAGTACTACTGTTAGTAGTACAAAAAAAATCGACTGTCAATCATAAGGGTTGGAGAGCCAATCAAGTAAGAGACAGATTCCTTTAATTCGCAAAGAAAACTATCAAAGCATTTTATGGAATAAAAAAGACCACTCATTAAATGATATTGTTTTATCTTAAAACACAAAATATTAAAATAGTTTTTAATTGCATAGATCGTAAATTATAAATAACATGTTAAAACTCGAAAAGTGATGTAATTAAACTCGGTCAATGAAAATTCTTAAATTAAAAAGTATTTATAAGGTTAATTTAAGGGAATTATAAGCCTTTTCTAAAAGCCTGTTGCCAAAAATCTTAAAAGCTCAAACATTTTAGAATGATAAAGTGAACCGAATTTGAAAGCTTCATTTTTCAAAAAGAATGCTTAAGCTTTTCATCAAAAGAGTACGTCTTGTCTGAAATATCGAAGACTTTAAATAACGATAGAAAAATTTCATCGTCTCCGTAAACAGAAGAGAGAAAATGCTTCTTTCAATACAAACACTTTTAAAGTTTTGCTTTAAGCGGATTATATTACCTAAAATGAAATAATCAAAATCGTAGTTTAAAGCAACTACGAAACAAAGAAATTAGCGAGCGTAATAAAATTCATGAAATGCTTGAAAGCAAAATTAAGGATAGTATTTTAATTTCAATTCAATTAATTTCAATAAATTGCATGTTTAGCTATTTGCTATTGGATAATAATGGAGTAAAAAAGTACAATTTGTTAAATTACAATCTTTTATGGAATTCAGAAAGAAAGCTATTTTAGACAAAGTTTATTTCCCGATATTGATGCCAACAAAAATTTTCTATAACTGTAAGATAGTGTTGTTGTAGTTAATTTACGTCGCACTAGAGCTGCACAATGGGCAATTGGTGACGGTCTGAGAAACATCCCTGAGGATGATCCGAAGACATGCCATCACAATTTTGATCCTCTGCATAGGGGATGGCACCCCCGCTTCGGTAGCCCGACGACCTGCACGCGAAGTCGAGCACTTTACGGTAGAACAGTTCAACGAGGACCGATACCGCACACCTTCGGTCCCTACACAGACTGATCCAAGTGGTCACCCTCCCGCACACTGACCGCAGCCAGTCATGCTTGACTTCGGTGATCTGCTGGGAACCGTGTCTTATTAACGATCAGTCCACTGCGGTACTGTAAGATAGTGATTTACTATGAAACAGAAACAATGTGAATAACGAACGAATAAAGGTAATAAAACAGACATACCTCTTATAATTTCGATTCAACAGAGAAAAAAATCCTCCTCAGTGTCTAAACACTAAAAAATAAAAAAAAATTGATGTTTAGAAACTGGACATCTTCAAACAATACAAAACCTAGAACTATATATTATCTTTTTAGGTGTTTTGACACTGAACTGAGAAAAATTCAGAGTCTCACACTGAAACTTGGAATTTAGAGATTCAACTTTTTTCAAGATCTAAACACAAAACAAGGTTCTTGTTTACTGAACGGAAATTATAGTACGCCCATTTCTATACTTTTAGAAAATGCTCTTTTCCAGACTAAAATCCTAAAAGTTGAGCTTTAAACGGATGATAAGACCTAAAATAAAATAATCAAAATCGTAATTTGATTACTAGTAGAAGAAATTACTAGTAGGATTAGTCCAAGCTTGCTTGAAGGTAAAATTAAGGACAGTATTCTAGTTTAAATTAAACTTATTTTAACAAATTTGATGTTTAGTTATTTGATATAGGTGAATAAGGAAGTAAACAAAATAAAATTTGTTAAATTACAAAGTTTTATGGATTTAAAAGAGGAAACTATATTGATAAAAGTTGATTTTTTGTTAATAATGGAAACAGAAATATAATTATCGCGTACTATATAGACACAGTCATTAATTACAAAGCAAAAAAAAACGTTAATAAAGCATAAATAAATGTACAGAAATGAACTATACTAATGATTCATAAAAAAGAATCTTCGTCGGTTTCGAAACAAAAAAATATTTTTTAGTGTAAAGACACTAAAAATCCTCAACAAGCTAGCAAAACTCATTTAATGACACTTCAAGGAAAATAAAGTTAATGAGCATTTTTTAAAGAACTTTATTCTTCAAAACAAGTTGAAAATTCTATTCAAGGCAAACTGTAAATCTACCATTCAAAGTACCAAAAATTATAACAATTTTGACAATGAGTAGCAGTTAAGTTAATGAAAAAAGGGGAAAAATAATATTAAAAATTATAATCGTTATTAAGATGCGTATTTAAATATTACAGCAGAAAGAGTTACCTAAAAGTTTACATTACAATTCAGTTAATAGAAAAGCTCATAAGAAGGAATAAAGTAGGAAATTTGGAGATAAATAAAATGGAAAAGATTTTAAGCCTCTAATATTAATGTGTTTAATCAAAGTATTTGTCAGTTTCTAGTAAATAAAGACTGATTTTTAGATAAATATTAAGAAGAAAAACTGACTATTAATTATTTTTAAAAATGTGTTTCAGTCAAAATACAAATCTTTTTTTTAAATTTCTGTATGTTAAACATTCCAGAAAAATTTTACTACTTATTGAAAAATTTATTTCAAGCAGATATTCTGAACTATTTAAATTTAGATTCACGCAATAGTCTCTCACATGAGAATTTTTACATCTGCCAAAAATAAAAACAGCTTGTCAAGTTTTTGCATTTTTTGAATTTTTTTTTTAATTCAAATTATTCTTGAAAAAATTTATTTTTAATTTTAAAGTAATTGTCTTTCCCATAACTTCTTTTTTCCCTATCATTCCAGTTTCAACACCTAGATGCCTTTTTTTTATTTAAGATACGATAATTCAAGGCAAAATATTTGCATTTAAATATGACTTCAGAAATTCTGGTGCATTTTGCTTCTCGAAAAGAACGTAATGACTCCTACACAGAATACTTTTGTGAGACTGGAAACAAAATAAAAAAATTTCGCAGTAAAAGTTTAATCATTTTCATTTCGAAAAACAAATTATTCATCACATGAAATGACATTACTTCGCAGTTTCATTTGAATAAAATTGCACACTACATACCATTATATGCATACCTAAAACATTTACTTTCATTTTTGACTCACTTTTTGTTCATTAGAGTTATTTTGCCATGAAGGTGCCCATTTTTTGACATTACAGAGAAAAATTCGTACGAGTTCCAAAAGGACCTTTTTTCACTTGAGAAAAGGACTGACACTAGGTGAAATTTAAAAAAAAAATACTTTTACATAGTAAAAACACACGTAAGCTACGTTAAAAACAATCACAGTAACCAATAAAAAAAACACATAGTAATTTACGTTAAAAATGGTCTCTTTATTTTGATGAATTTGATTTCCGTTTATCATTTTAATTCATTTCGATGACGATTTAGGAAATATAACATTTCGAATTCTAACTTATTTTATTCCATATTCCTAAAATTATACTATTAACCATGTGCGCAGATATTTTTTTATATAATGTTATTAAGTTGCTAGTTTTTCAAACTTTATGAATAATATTTTCCTATGACGAAATTTTTTTTAAATATTGAATAAATATTGATTTTATATTGTAATACTGCCTTACAAATCTGTAATTAGTAACTATTAGTAACTCTTTTTTTTAAACAATAAAGTACAGCAGCATGTATTGATGATAAATTATCAGGGTCTCCAAAAATGAACGACAGTTTGAAAAATTCAATAAAATAAAAGCAGAAGGATATTAAAAGTTTATCGCCTTCATCATAGAAAAAATTCAGATAAAATTACAATACTGTATGGGAATAAAAATTTTTGTATTTTAATACTGCATGGCAATTACATTAAAAAATTCCGTTCAAATGACAAAACCACTGATTTCCAAAATTATAGTTTTCAATACCACAAATTTATTTAAAAATACAAAACTGAGAAGAGAGTTTAACCAAATAAATGCTTTTTATGCCATTCTCTGAGGAAACATAATAAAATTATCAGATTTACCTCATTTACCAGATTTTATCACATAATATGAAATCATATTTTATTGCTAATTTTACCAAAATAATTACCTAAGTGTTTCATAAAAATTGCCGAGATTATTGATGTTTCCATAGAGTCGGTAACTTTTACCATATTCTGGTAGTTTCAGCAATAAATTTTTTCTGAGCCTAGGAAAGAGCGTGTATCCTCACAATCGTTTCCCTATTGCCAATACTTCTGCAATAATTCGTACTGCTAACTGTAGTTAACTGAAAATAATAATTTTTTCCTCATACCGTACATTTTCAACTAAAATATTTCGAGAGCATCTATTAATGTTAGTCATTATTGCTCCCAGTTGTTGCTATGTAATCAATTTTTCATGTCGCAGATTTGTAATACCTAGTTCATTAAATTATGAAAAGCATAAAATTAAATATTTGTAAATTAATTTATGAAATATAGTTGTACGTGGCTAATTTTACTGTTGTTTAACCAAACCAATTTTACTGAGCGATTTAACGATAGCTATATCTGAAAATTAAATAGTGGCTTTGCACCACCATCACGCTTGCAGACGCAAATGCAGTTGCAAGACAGACTTCTGCCCCATTCCTTCGGAAAACCCCTCATCACTGACTTTGATTGTTCCAGAATCTTAACATCAACAATTACAAGATTAATAACAAACCACTTTAAAGGGATGAAAATTCTTCCCGACAAAATAAGAACTTATATTCCCTGCAAGAACTGCACCGACATCCAGCTTACCCCGGATCACATTCTCGAGTGGCCAGCCCTTACCCCATATGTTTTACAACTGGGTATGGTGCCACTGGCTTCAGAACTTCGTGAGATCCTCTACAGTAATGGTGCATTGGAGCTTGCGGATGCAGTTTTGAAGACACACGAGACCATTTAATTGTCCATGGACACGATGAAAAAATAAATAAAAATAGTGGCTTCTGTATACTTTTTCTAATTTATTTAGACTTCAGACTTTTGAGAAATAAGTTTTGTTTGAGGGGAGGGGGATAATTTCCTTTCTCCTAATTTTACTTAACTGATTTGTAATTCATAGGTAAATATTTTTTATATTTTGGCACGCACAGCAAACAAATACTTATTATTCTCCCTTTTAACGTAATAAATATCTGAAACTCAGATAAATTTTAATTTCATCTATTATCAAATGGTCTGGAATGAATTAGGAGTAAAGACATTGTTTCCCTATCAAGGCAAGGCAAGGCAACCTACTTGTTGACCACCTTGCCTTGCCTGCTGAAAACCTTTTGAACAGGCGAGTTCAGATACTCTTTACAGCCCCTAGCACTCTTTGTACAGACTTACATTCCTTAGTGGTTGATAAATAGGGAAAGGGATATTAAATAGTACCTATAAGTTATTAAGGTATTCCCTAAATAAAAGGGAATAACTTAATTACACAGTTAAATAAACCTATTTACCCTAGTTCTACGAAGAATCAATATACGACACTTAAGAAATGAACCAGAAAATGATCATTTTATGATCATTGTCCTTGGATCTCTGATCATCATAGTTGATCATTGAACTTAAGTTGACGCTGAATGGACTGGAACTTGGATTTGCTTAGGAGAAGTAGAGGGAGTCGTGGTACAGGTTGTATGCTCAAAAACAAGAAAACGACGAAGTGAAAGCAAACCCATCCCCATGCTACCTCCTATTAACTACCCAAGACAAAATTTTTAATGGTTTTTCTTCTACGGACCATCATGAATATGATGGTAGCCATCATGGAGCTTCAATAAAAAACCGTCTTATTTCTAAATGATACAATCAGGACTGACCATTACCTCCTATTAAGAATTGGAATAAATTTACGTTGGACCAACATGAACACAATCAACATGGTATGATGGTATTTTTTGATGGCCGAACAAAAAAAATCATCAATTCCAGATGGGACCATTAAGATTAGCTATCACCTCATGTTAGTAATTAGAAAAATTATTTGTTGGTCCAACATAAACAAAACAAGCATACTTTGATATTTTATAAAGATCCAACAAAAAAATGTATCAGGAACCAACACATTTTGTTGGTTTCTAACTTATATTCCGTCAAAAACCATCTACATTTCTGATGGCACCATCAAAACTGACCATCACCCTCCTTTTTTTGTACTTTTCTATTTCGAAGTGTTAACAATTATTCTTTTTACAATTAATTAACAAGTAAAAAAATACGCATTTTAAAATTCTTGGTCTCAGGTATCATTAAAATTCAAATCCCATGTTCAAAAACAAAATCTCTATCGCAAGGCTTTGGTTTACCCACGATCTAGAAGATATGAA